CTTTAGCAGATCGTCCCCCAGACACTCTCGTTAAAAACATAAAAGACCTCTATAGACGTCTTTGGCAGCCAATGAGTTAAAGACCAACGGGAGCCAAAGGGATGAAAACTAAAACCCACATCAGAATCTCTACCCCAGCCTAATGCAGCAGGATGCTAACTGCTAACTGGAACACTCACCTGGGAGCCTCCTCCACCACCTTCTGGTTCCTCCTCTGGATGGAGCACTCCCTCTCATTCAGCCACAGGGCATTGCCGTGCTTGTCAGCCAGCACCTGCAGCAGACAAACACACAGAGCTTAAACTGGGCTCAACATCTGCAAACCCAGGTAAGTCTGCTTTAGTCAAGCAAAGCTCCAGACGTCAACAGGCCACTGTGTCACCTGGGACCAGCTATTCAATTCAATTCAGGTTTATTCCTATAGCTCTAAGTCTCAGAAGCAGGTATCTAACTGCTTTCCAAACAGAGCATCTCAGACTTTGAGTTATTTACAGAACAACAACAGTTCCCACCAAGAGCAACACTAGGAGACACAGGGAGGAAACAACTGCCTTTAGGAGGAAGAAACCAGGAGCACAACCATGGATCAGGGTGGGGGGGGCATCTGAGTACCTGGATCTCTATGTGTCTGGGGTTGTCGATGTACTTCTCGATTAGCAGCCTGTCGTCTCCAAAGCTGGACGCAGCCTCCTGGGAGGAGAAGCGGAATCCCTCCCTGTGAGGGGACAAGCGGGTTAGGCCGTCCCAGTAGGGTTGTCACGATACTAACATTTTCAACTGGATACCAATACTCAGGAAAATACTCGATACTCGATACCATTTAGATACCACAAGGATAAAAACAAAGACCCCAAATTTTAACTGAATTGTCTTTCATTTCAAACTGACCTGTTACTGATGTTATCGTGACTGGTGGCCCACATTAATAACCCTAATCCTGACCCTAACCCTAACCCTCCAGCCTTTATAATTGTGAGAAATAAATATTTTTTGGTTAAACTTGTTTGGACTTATTCTAAAAACCTATTTAACATCCACTATTTTAACATAATATTATGGATAAAGTTTAATTAAGTGTTCGAAAGATTAATTTCACTATTTTTAAATTAATGTCTATATTGCCATGAGGCATTACCATTTTCTTGCCTGGGATCTTCCGATTGGTGACGTAATCAAAATGGCCGACTTGGATGTGGGCGGAGTTAGATATGTACTTGATTAATGGTAGCACGTTATTATTAGCCATTAGCCGAAGCTAGCAGTTCAAGGCTAACGTCTTGTTAATGACCATAAACAACGTAAAGAAATACATAAATAAATCTGAGAGAAGGGGCGCAATGGTGGTATCAATACTTTTGAAAATGAGTATCGTATCCGGATACAACATTTTAGTATCCATACTTTTTTGAGTATCAATACTTTTGACAACCCTACGTGGCAGTGAGTCAGCAGGTACCGCCTTACCTGGTCTCCTCATCGTTCCAGGCTATTCGCATCCCTTTGCCCCCTCCTCCTGCAGAGGCTTTGATCATCACCGGGTAGCCTGAAAAGAGTCAAACAGATGTTTGAGGAGGAAACATCCCCTGACCTAGAGACCGCCTCTCATCTCCTGAATGGCTAGGTGCTTCTAAAGGCTTTTGGCACAGTAACCAGTCATCAGAAGAGGTTATGTAGAGCATTTTTCAACCTTTTTTTGAGCCAAGGTACAGTTTTTCATTGAAAAAATCTCGAAGCACACCACCAACCAAAAATGTTAAACAAATCTGTATCTGCCTATAGTAACACTATAGTTATTATCTTATTCTTATCTTAAGTGTCTTGAATAGGAATCAAATAAACACAAAAATGTATTCAAAACACTCAAAAATGGCATATCATTTACAGAAAATTAATTCTTTCTACGGCACATCTGACCATCACTCACAGCACACTAGTGTACCGAGGCACTTATCTTAAGTGTCTTGAATAGGAATCAAATAAACACAAAAATTTCTTTCAAATTGCTCTTAACATGTCCACTTCAATATACAAAATTATATACAAAATCTAGTCATAAGGAATTATTACATGATTACTCCACCAGTCACTAGTAAAGCACAGACACTCAAAAATGGCATATTATTAGCAGATAATTAATTCCTTATCAAAAAATCTTTTTAGACCAATAAGGTGAAATAGGATGATTTTCTACACCTGACCATCACTAACACCACACTAGTGTACCGAGGACCAGTGGTTGAAAAACACTGGTGTAGAGAGTTAGGCAGGAATAAAATAAAATTGGATATGGGGGATTTGTTTCAGAGGTCGTCTGGGGATGTGGTTTTTGGGAGTGTTTTCAGTTTTATAAGAAGAACGGGTGTGTTAGAAAGGATTTAATAGATTGTCTGATCCATACTCCATTCTGGAAGGTGGCGGTAATGGACCTAAAAGTAGTTTGCCAACCGCCATTAAAAAAAAGAGAAGAAGAAGAAGAAAGAACCAGTCATCAGTCTGACTCCACTCCAGCTCCAGAGGCTTATTCTGTGCCTGTATTTCCTAAAGCGGTGGGTCCTTATCTGAGCTGCTACAGGGCGGTTGCCACCGACGCCAAGATGGGAACTAAAAACCTCTTCTGGGTATCTCAATAGCCAAAGGGATTTGACCTTCTGCCCCATATAAAGCAGCCCATCTATCAGCCTAACCTACATGAATCAATGAGGTAATGTGTGATGATGGAGCACATTCAATTCAATTCAATTGTATTTCTATAGCTCCACATCACAACAACAGTTGTCTCACAGCTTTCCAAACAGAGCAGGTCAGACCTACTCTGAAGTTAATTACAGAAACCCAACAATTCCCACCATGAGCAAGCACTAGGCGACACAGGCAAGGATAAACTTGCTTTAACAGGCAGAAACCTGGAGCAGAACCATGGCTCAGGGTGGGCGGCCATCTGCCTCGGCCGGTTGGGGGTGAGAGAGAGAGAGAGGGCGAGAGAAGGACAGAAGGAGCAGAGAGAGGCAGCCAACACAGCAACACATAGACTGGATGAAAAATGGCAATGATATGACTCACTGCCCGGTTAGGGTTAGGCCCGGTATGAGCTGTGTGCAGAACTTACCGATGTCCTGTGCTATCTTCACAGCGTCCTCCGCATTCTGACACACAGAGACACGCTGGTTACCCACAATGCATCTCATCACAGAGCCCCCTATCACCACACCTCTGTCAGCTGCTAGGAGCTCCCTGCTTCTGTCTGAGAACCAGCAGGTCATTGACCAGCTTTAAGCAGCCATGTAACGGGCTCATTTCAGCAGATTGTTCATTTGCACATTCAGATCTATATATATATATATATTTTTTTTTTATACTTATCTTTTATTGAACATTTCTGTACACATACAGTGGAGAGGCATCCATACATTCAACTTCATACACAATGTTGGAAAAACGTGTCCATATTTAGCTGGGTATCACAGTGGCATTCTCCTTGAGTCTGTATTCGCTCCATTTTTCCCATTTAACATCAAACTTGTCCTCCTGCAGATCTATATTTTTAAAGATTGGGTTTTTCAGTTTTATCATTTCCGTCCTATATTTTTATTCCTACATTTTATTTCTTGCTTCTCATAGAAGTGTTGTGTTGTGCACCAAACACCAAGGCAAATTCCTTGCAAGTCTAAAAACCTACTTGGCAATAAACCTTATTCTGATTCTGATTCTGATTTTGGACACAAAACAGCAACACATTTGTCGACTTTGTCTCCTCTACACAGGCTTGTTACCTTGACTACGCCGTCGAATCCTGGGATGGTGTTGACCTTAGCAGCTTTAGCAATTAGCTTGCTCTCAATCTTGTCCCCCATCGCCTGGATGGCATGGGTGTCTGGACCAATGAACATCACCCCCTCTGCAGCCTGACAACAGACAGGAGCACAACAAGTACACAAACTGGCTTTAAACAGGCCTGCATCTTACCCAGAAAGCTCCTCTGGCTCCGAGCAGGAGTTCCGGCAAACTGTTTCCATGGAAACATGCAAACGGGCCGACTGGGCCCTTTGTTTCCGGCTCATTCCTGTGCTTCAGAAAGCAGATGCTGATGGCAGTACATGGCACTTCATGGGCTACGGTGGCCTATTTGTATCTATTTTATTTAGCTTTATTTTCTGCTTTTAGACGCTTTGTAAAGCAAGTTTAAAAGAACACAGGGACAAAGGGCAGATCAGTTCCTGACCTGACCCTGCTCACTCTTTCCTTTTAACTCATTGGCTGCCAAAGACGTCTATAGAGTCTTTTATGTTTTTAACGAGAGTGTCTGGGGGACGATCTGCTAAAG